ATCTGATAGGTGCCCACTGAGAAAAAGTAAAGACACCCTCTTCAATTCACAAAGGGAAATTGAGGAAGATAGCTCTTGAAAAAAAAATCAATTTCTCCATTAGATACATAGCAGAAGTAACAAAAGGAGTACCCTGCCTCATTTCCACATTCCAAACTTGAACTAGAACATCGGATTTTAGATACTTAAATCAAAACTTGAATCCTATCATTGTTGTTGTTATGCCCCGTCGAGTTGGACCAGACTCATACTGACCCCTCCTTGGGTTTCCGAGGCAGTATCACTACTGAAGTAGATTGCCCAGCCTTCCTTCTGAGGAGTGACTAGTGGGTGTCTGCAAATGTAGTTTACAGTTTCCCTGCTATCTACAGTACTGGAAGACACACGAGAAGAAACTTTGAAGTATTAAATAATAATCTACTTTGAGTAAAAAAGAAAAGTAAAGGAAAAAATGGGGAAAATTGCTTACCTTTCTTATTTAAAAGATACACACAAACACACAGAGGCATGTTGAACTAATTAAGCACCTGGTTTATCAATCACCAGTAAAAATATCAATTTAAAATAAAAATAAATGGTGCCAAGAAAGGGTATGGTGAAACTAGTATTGCTAATGGAATTAGAAATTCATATCACTTTTGAGAGACATTCAGTAAGACATACAAAGACCATAAAACTGCTAATAGTGCCTGATAAGTATTCCCTCTTGAGGTAATTTATTACAAATGTATTCATATAACAAAAATTCATAAACAATTTAGCTATTCAATAACAGGTAAGTAGCAGACCATATTATATGATCTCTCTAGCTGGGAACAAACATTATGATGTCATTTGAAAGAATATTTTGAAGACTTTTTCATGAGATGCCAAAAATCTCATTAAATAAAAAAAAAAAAAATGAAGTGTTTGTATAAGATCTCAATTTTATAAAAATAATCAGAAATGTTGATGATTTTCAAATGAATCTGTACTCATTTGTAATAGTATAAAATATTATTTTAAAAGAAAATATACCTGAAATTTTGATAAGCAGTTAGAGGTTGGGAGAGCAATGAGGGGACAGGATGATTATATACTTTCTTTACCCAATAATTCCATTTCTGGAAATATATTCTAAGAGGTCATCTAAGAAAATGTCTAAAATGCTATGCTGAGAAAATATGCTTATGTTGATATTACTATAATAATGAAAATATAGGCAGCAACAAAAACTGAGAATGATTTGATAGATTATTGTATGTCAAAAAAAGTACATAAGGCTTAAGACAATGGATCAACACAGAAAATTGTTTTGAATCTAAATTTAAACAATAAAAGTAAAACATAAATTGAGTGTACTCTTCAATTTAAGTAAACATGAAATTAGAAAAGCAGCTATAAAATTAAATGAGAAATAATCATATAATGGAATATCATGTATATAATGGAATATCATGTATTAGTAAAAAATGAAAGAACTAAAACCAAAACAATACACACAAAAGAACATGATGACTAACAAGACTATAATGAGAATATAATTAATTCACAGAACACCCATGCAATTCAAACATGCAAAATTAAACACTCTACTGCTGGGCAATACATAATAAATATTTTCTAAACTGTTAAATGTATATATGATAAATACAACAATTTAGATATTGGATGTCTCTAAGATGAGAGGGGGATGGATTTGAAACATATATGTGTCTTACATTATACTGGAAATAGTGTTCAGACCTGTGCTAGGTACATGGCATTTGTTTTATTTACATTTTTTTATATATTAAAATTCAGAAGGAAGATGGGGCAATCTACTTCCATAGTGATACTGCCTCGGAAACCCAAGGAGGGGTTGCTATGAGTTGGGGCTGACTCGATGGCACATAACAACAACAACATATATTAAAATATGCTTCATATTCATTTATATGCATTAAATGTTCAATAGCATTAATTGTAAAAGAAAAGTGACATAAAACATACAAAATAATAATATATGTATTAAAGTTAAGGAGCTCTGGTAGCACAATGACTAAGGCATCTGACTCCTAACCAGAAGGTTGGTGGTTCAAACCCACCAGCCACTCCATGGCAGCAAGACTGGGAACCCTACTTCTCTAAAGATTTACTGCCTTGGAAACCCAATGGGGGTCGTTAGGAGTCAGAATTGACACAATGGCAGTGGGTTTGGTTTGAGTTTGTTATTAAAGTTTGGAGTTATGAGCAATTGCTTATTTTTTTCTTCTCTTTTGTTTCTAAATATTTTGTAATGTGATTGCTTTGTTAAGTATCTCAATAATGATGCAGTTATCCAAATATAAGTGACTCATTTGTATCCTCAGTTTATTAATAAAGGACATTTTTCCTTTCATATAAAGTTCTTTCTTCAAAATTATACAGAATATAACAAGTATAGGATGGCCTAGTATTACGAGAGCTTTGTATATATTTTTCTGCAGAAGTCTAAAAGAGCCAGTTTAGTCTGTAGATAAAGCTACTTTGATTCTGGCATTTTCAACCCATGATACAGTTTGCTTGTTGTGTGGTTTTTGTTTTGTTTTGTTCTGATAAGTATTATATTGTACATCAGAGTTACTGGCAGATAGCATCAGCCTCTAACATCCTAATGAAGAAGTGAAGATAAAAAATGATGCTATAAGTGGTAGTTGGTTTAATTTCTTAAAAGAATAAATCATGTGTTTGAACAACCATAATTTATCCACGTGAAAGTCAGTGATGCTGTTTACTTCTTTATGTTTGCTTCTGACACTCTGTAGATGTAAAATCTGGAGTGCTCTGTTTTACATTTTTAGAATTTTTTAGCATTGTCAAGTATATAAAGGCCATAGTTAGCTATCTACATCAGGTGTTAGATGTGGATATGTAATAGATTGTATGTTTAAATGTGTATGATGTTTTAATAAATGTCCATTTTGCACAATTACAAATTATCCAATGATCTGTCATGTTTTTACTGTACAGACAGTTGTAGACAAAAGAATAATGAAATATAATCTATTCACAGAAGTAATTTCTGTTTTAATTAAAGTAATGCAATTAGCTGGCCTTCCTGCATTGAGATACATTTGGCATATTTTAGAGTTTAATTTTGGGTATTGAATTTAAAAAAATCCAATTGTGCCAGTTAATTAAACAGTGACATTATGCAAAGTAAAGAAGATTAGGCAACATCAGTTGTTTATGTTTGTAATCTTTCTTCTACAGGACCGAAGAATGAGTTGTTCCTCTTTTATGGGAAAGGACGTCCAGGAATTGTTAGAGGAATGGATTTGAATACCAAGATAGCTGATGAATACATGATCCCCATAGAAAATCTGGTAAACCCTCGTGCTTTAGATTTTCATGCAGAAACCAATTACATTTACTTTGCTGACACCACCAGTTTTTTAATTGGTCGACAGAAGATAGATGGCACAGAGAGAGAAACCATCCTGAAAGATGGTAAGTGACACTGTGTAACGTGAACATCAAACTGCCCAGAGATAAAGTAACTTAAAAGAACAAGTCTAATGTATGACATACTACCTTTAACAAGAACCCTAGTTCTTCTTGATGATTTTCAAATATTTGTTAGTTTTATTGTTTTCAGAAATATTATTTCTCCGTAGTTTTCATGTACCATTGTATTAAAACTTTTATTATAAAATCTAACTTGCAATTGTCTGTTACATTTTAAATATCATAGTAATTAAATCAGGCAGTGGCTTTGGTTTTGTATTATCTACCTGGTGAAACAGAGATTACAATTATATGTTTATAATCCTGTGTGGCAAAATGAGATGCATTTTACAATTACTGGTTATCATTAGAATATCAGTCATAGGGAGCTTTCCTTGTGCATAGGTTCAGTATTTGCAGATTCAACCAACTGTGGATTGAAACTTGAAGGGGAAAAAAATAAAATTAAGTGGTCAAAGTGATTTCTCAAAGCTAAGAGGAAGCACAAAGTGCTATTTACACAGTACATTGTGTTAGGGATTATAAGTAATCAAAAAAGACACACAAAAAGCAAATGTCTCACCATCAAGTCGATTTTGACTCACAGTGACCTGGTAGGGCAGACTAGAATTGCTCCAGAGGGTTTCCAAAGCTATAAATCTTTATGGAAGCAGACTGCCTCAAATATCTCCTGGGGAATGGCTGGTGAGTTCAAACCACCAATGTTTTGGTTAGCAGCCAAATACTTTAACCACTGCACCACCACAGCTTCTATAAATAATCTAGAGATGGTCTAAAGTATATAGGATGATATGCAAAACTAAATTCAAATACTAAAACATATTATTACATAAGAATTTGAGCATCCATGGATTTTGGAATGGGGTTATTCTTGGAACCAATCCCCATGGATGTTGTTGTTGTTGTTGTTGTTATGTGCCCTCGAGTCGGCCCCGACTCATAGCGACCCCTCCTTCCCCTCCTTGGGTTTCCGAGGCAGTATCACTACAGAAGTAGATTGCCCCATCTTCCTTCTGAGGAGTGGCTGGTGGATTTGAACCGCCAGCCTTCTGGTTAGCAGTCAAGTGACTTAGCCACTATGCTACCAGAGCTCCCTTATTAATAGATACACATATGCAATTATATGCACATGTATGCATATAACATTATTAAAATTAATGCATTTCATAAATCATTTAGTTTAGGAATAACCAATCAAATAAAAGAATATCATTTTGGAACAAGAAGATAAAGTGTTTAACAGTGTAGCAAAGCAGATCTTTCACTGACAGTCATTGTCTTTAGCTACATCAACTAATGATTCTGGACCTCAGTATTTTCATATATATATATTTCTTCACTATTTTAGAAACCTATAACTTAGTGAACATTAATTGTGTGCTTTATTTTGTGAAAGATATTGTGCTAGGTATTTTAGGATATAATAAGAATTGTTAAGAAAAGAACACTGCTTTTAAGGAGTTAAAAAATCTCTCTTTGGAGATTATGTAAACACAGGAAAGTATTAAAAGCATTATAGAATTTTATTAATAAATCCAAAGCTGTGCCAAATATGTATATAATTAGTAGAGAACCCAAGAGGATTCCACAGGAAAGAAGAGATGCCTTTAAGTTGGTGTGATCAGAGAAGTCCTTGTGGAGGAGATGGTATTTGGGCTAGATTTTAAAAGAAAAATCATAGGGGAGGAGAGGAGCATGTTTGAAAAACGAATTACATACACACACACACACACAGACACACACATGAAAGCAACAGGCTTCAGAAACAGAACAAGAACATTAAAGCAAGTCATGAATGGAGGTTTTGTTTGCAGGTAATAATAACAGAGATGATGTGAATGTTCAAGGTGGGGAAATAAAAGGCTTTGCATGTGCGGTGAGGGCGATTGGATTTTTTACTGAAGGGTAAAGAAACAGGAAATGATTTTATGCTGAGCAGGATGAATGAAATACTTTAGAACAATCAATCCAGTGTTGGAGTAAAGAATGAATCAGAGAGAGGAAGAGAGAAAATAATAGCATAGAAATGGAATTAAGTTATTTACAGCACAAATGGTGATGAATGGTGGTCTTCTGTGTCTTTTGAAGGGGAGGGAGAATATGAAAGATTTACTAATTCAACTCAGTTTCTCTTTAAATCAAACATTTCATGATAAAAAGAACAGTTTCCAAGAGTGACAAATACAGTGCTGAAACAAAACAAAACAAAAAAAATCTCTGTTTTTATCTTTTTTATAGTTTACATTTAAGGCAATATACATCTACCATGACTTAACATTCTCCATGGAGAGTCTAATCAGAATTAAGAGTTGGACTTTATATTGGAGGTGGCTTAGACTGTCTGCCTACTTTTCTGTGACTTCTTTTTTTCTGTATTGTGGTGGCAGATGATAAGGCCTTTACAATTTCTGAAAGATAGTAGGCCTGCACTTTCTCCCTAAGTAGATGCATTTGGATTGCTCTGTGTTTTACCTACATATTTTCAACAGAGACTTAAATGCAGTAAAGAAGTTTATTGGTTTATTTTTTATGAAGTATCAGTTCCTGTGCTGTGACCGAGTGTTCTAGCTAATAATCCTATCTTTGATAATAAAGTGTTATCAGTGATATTGGTGATTCTTTGCATACCATCACAGCAAAAGAGTTCAGGTATAGTACACATGTGACTTCCAGGCAAATCTATATGGTGTTGCTTTCACAGTTATGACGGTTTTGAGAACATGTTGCAGATTTTCACAACTCAAGTATACTTAGCCTTCAGATATCCCAATATCAAGGGCATTTAACATCTTTTTATTAGTTTGTCTCTTTTCTTACCAGTAAGGAGAATGATAGGCGCTCTGGCAGTGTAGCATGCAAGGCATTTGACCAGAAGGCTGGCAGTTCAAATCCACCAGCCACTCCTTAGAAGGAAGGTTGGGCAATCTACTTCCATAGTGACACTGCCTCAGAAACCCAAGGAGGGGCTACTATGAGTTGAAACTGACACAATGGTTTGTTTTATTTTAAGGAGAATGATAATAGACATTATGGTAGAAAACAAAGTGGAAGACTGCATTTGGCAAATGGCAATCTGTGAATCTCACAATCAGGAAATTTAAAATGTTTAGTTTGAGGGCCTACCATTCAACCTAAAGACTAAGAGGCAATGCTTCATTTCACAAATGGTTTTGTGAGATTGATAGAAATTCTGTGTCTTAGGATAAGTTTGTATTGTTTCAAGTACAAGTCTGTAAAGATATTCCTGTTTGTAAATAAAACATAAATACCTTGGACATCTTCAGTGTAACCTCAGATCCTTACTACAAAAGAGGAAAAAAAAAAAAAAAAAAAAAACAACTTTTCAGTTAGAGATCTATCTTCATTCATTCTTTGCCTTTTTTTTTTTCCTTCCAGAAGTTTAGTGAAAGCCTTTTAAATTCTGGATATCCTGTCAGCTGTATTTTTAGGTTAAAACAATAGTAGTAAAATAAATAGAAAGGACAATTATGCATTTGTAATACTTATATCTCAAGAATTATTAGAAATACCTGTGAAATGAAGACAGCTAATTGATTTAATAAAAACAAAATTCTATAAAGACAACTGTATATTTTTCATCCTTCTCAAAATTCTATCAAAGTTTTTGTAAAATTAGTACACTATTTCTTTTAATTAATTACTTGAATTATTAATGTTTTCAATCAATAAGTATTCAGTGAATCCTTTTTATGGACCAGATGCTATTTTTGATGATGGAAATGCTGCAACAGAGTAAAACCTTCATATAAATCGTGAGAGGCAGACAATAAATAAAAATACACATGAACAAGATGAAGATAAGTGCTATATAGAAAATAAAATAGAACAAAAGGGATAAACAGGAAGGTAAACAGGTGGCAAAATTAGATTGAAACATCAGAGAATTTAAATTAGCTATTCTTACCAGGTATAATTGTTTCTTTCTCTGAGTACAAGATAAGTGCTCCTAATAAGATTGAATATCATTGGTATCCTGTCTAAAATTCATTTTTTTTTTTAAATTTTAGTATAAATTATAGTTTCCAGCAGAATGGAAATATATAAAAATGGAAATTTAGTATTTAATTTGCTGTTGTTGTTGTTGTTAGGTGCCGTTGAGTTGTCCCCAGCTCATAGCTAACCTATGTACAACAGAATGAAACACTGCTTGGTCCTGTGCCAGCTCACAATTATTGCTATACCTGAGCCCATTGTTGCAGTCAGTGTGTGAATCCATCTTGTTGAGGGCATTCCTCTTTCTCTCTGACCCTCCACTTAACTAAGTAAGCAATGATA